TGGTTAATAAGAGATTTATTATACGACTGAAGTTCAAAGGGACACAAGTACGGTATCACTCGGGACCATTTGGGACAGTGCCCGGTCCAATAATGAGAGAATATTGACTGGCAACAGAGCATTTTGATTGGTTGATTTTAGTTATTGGCCCTCTGACTGCCCGAGTCATGTAATAATTTTCTTTATTCTCATCACTTGTCCGCTTGGTATTGTACTGCAAGAGTTAAAGGATTAATGTCCTCTTGCTTTTATATTTAGGTTTCTCCCAGTTTTTAATTTTAGTTTCTGGATTATGAATTTGAATGGTGACAAATTGTTACATTTTAATTGTTTCTGGGAGAAACTTAGCAGCAACCTTGTACAGTGTTTGAGCTGAGGCCCCCTTTTGCCAACTGGAACTTTGCATACATGACAGACATAAGGATGGATCCAAGGTAATTTTAAAAAGGGGATCTTATTAATGAAGTGAGGGTGCAAACTCTCTGTCTTCCAATAAGAGGAAAACATGTGCTTAGCGAACTCCTCTGAGACAAAAGTACAAAAACAAAAAAACAAACAAAAAGACTAACTAAAGGCTATCTCAGCTTCCCTCAAATCTACCCAAAGGCAGTCTTGCTCTTGTTTACCCCATTTTATGATTAAACATTTTTCAAGGTGCATACCACAGAGGATCCTGTGTTTAGTACTGAGTCCAAGGCATCATCTTCATTTCCTTTAGATACATCAAATAAACAGATCAAACCATCCTGTACAAAAATATTCAATAAAATTAATTTGCACCCTCAGATAAAAGTATTCATATATAGCAGTTCCTTAATCCTTTAAATGCTCAGTGACTGGCATCTAATTTCTCCCAAAAATGTCACCACTGAATCAAACATCTAGGTCACAAGAATAAAGCAAAAGATCATCAACTAAAGACATCCTTGATTGTTAAACAAAATCTCCCTGTCACCACCTTAGGGAATGTATGGAGAACAGTACAGAGAAAATGCATACTGATGTTAGAGTGTAGAGGGTTAATCCATGATTATTGGTGACAGCAAAATGAAATTAAGTTTCCAAAAGTAGAATAGTGTCGAGAAGTCTTCACACAATTTCCTAATCTTTGTGTTCAGTGAAAAGTGTCGAAGCATAAAGGGAAACCAAATTTCAGCAGGAACTGTCGTTGTTGGGATCTAGAAGAGATGCCCTAAGTAAGAATGCTGTCAATGTTTTCTTTAAATGGACACAAAAATCCTGATTGAACAGAATTATTGGTAGTTTGGAAATTTTCACTAATATTTATTATTTTAATTTTAAATGATAAAATTATTTTACATACAGTGGAGCCAGTTGCCATTTGATGAGTCTGAAGTGGACTAAACTGGATCTACATTAAGTAAATGGTAAATACATATAGTTACCATACAGGTAAATAAAATCAATGAGAAAATACACCTTCAACTTTAACACAGTTTGTAAATCTGGCACATATCTTTGAATAACTGGATTTCAAACTGTGGGTGACTGGGGAGGGCAGATAGTTTTTTATTTTTTTGGGTGACCAGGGGCAATGTGAGAGTAAAGCCCAAGAGGTAATTCATTATCCCAACAGGCTACATCTGTAATACCTGAGTAATTTCACCATTATGTGAGTCTGTGTACATATCCATGTGAGTCTGCAGCAACCTCTCTGCATTTAGCTTTCTGATATCCCTATGAAAAGCATAAATGAATTTGTTGTGAACAAACCATCTTGACTTGATCTTTTACATATTACACGAATACAGTTCAAGCTCTCCACAATGGCCACCTTGAGGAAAGGAGAGAGTGGCAGTCATGGAGAGGTGGCCATTTTAGTAAGGTTTAAATGAATGTATGGACAGTTCTGCCGGGACCAAAAAAAAAAAACCAAAAAAAAAAAAACCAAAAAAAAAAGGCCCTCCAAAATAAAAGGCCCTCCAAAAAAAAGGACCAAAAAAGTGCCATTGTGGAGAGGTGCCCATTGTAGACAGGTGGCTGTTAGCAGAAGTCCCCCTGTATACATGTTTCATCATTGTTGCATAAATTCCATGGTCACCAACAGTAAATAATGCAAAGGATTATGCCAAGTCCCAAAGCATAAAAGGATAAGCATATTACCACATCCTCTTGCTCATCCATTACAAGACACCTCTTATATTTTGCCAAGATTATTTGTGATCATCTGGGTGAGGGATTAGTCCTGCAAAGGACTGTTATCAGCCACAGCGACTGATATTTTGACATCCTAAGCAGAAGTCTATCAAACTGACACTGATCACAGACCACTAACATGTCTTTCAATCATGAATTCACTACTTAACAACCAAACATCCCACACAGAAAGCATAATAATCTGTAATGAAACCTGTATCAACCATGTGCAGTGCTGCTGCACTTGGTCCATACCTAACCAAAGACTGAGGCCAATAATGCATTCACAATTCTGTGCAGAGATTTTTAACAAAACTGCACTGTTGGGTTGGTTTAGCGAGTGGCATCTGCTTTGCTGCAAATTGCTAATCACTAAAGCACTTGGTCAATGAGTTGTGCACTATCACAAGAGCAAATATGTAACAATTTCTGTTGCTTAATCATTATTTATACCATGTTTTACGCTATAATTTCAGTTTCCAGTGATGGACAGTTCAGCTTGATGTGGCCTTTTCTCTTCAGAAAGTAGCTTGCTGTTTAGCTTTAATGCATGTACTGAAATTGATGGTAAGTTACTGAGAAATCAGAATTTTGAAAGATCAGACTCTGAGTTCAACAAAGAATCCACTAAACTTTTTCCTGCTCTCAACACTTAGCTCCTCAGCTTAGTTGGTAATAGCGCCCAAAGGGTATGTAGAAGGCATGAATTCAAGCCATGTCCGAGAAATTACTTAATATCAATAGTTACTTGTCCAGGAATTTACAGGTGAGAGGGGCAGCTTTGTATGACTGATAATTTTAGCTTATTTGTAGAAAATTGAGAAAAAATCCTTGAGAACTCACATTTAAGTATTTAAATCTTAAGAAAGCAGGGAAAGGAAGGGTGAAGGCAAGCCTAAACCTAACAACTTTTAAGAAAGAATGTAATATAAGTTGGCTTGATGAGGTCCAACAGGAGTGAATCTTATTCATCTAAAGAAATGCAGTTTTGCTGTTGATTAGGATCTTACCAGAGGTACAAACAGACATCTTCACCATAAGGCTCTGTAGCAGCTGCAACAATTTCATCTGAATAGTTCAAACCACAAGCAGTAAAAGAACAGTTGTTTGGGCCTGAAGGAAAAGAAAACACAGCATCATAAAAAGCATTCTGAGCATGATTACATGGAGGTAGAGGGACTCACATTCACAAATCACTGATAGGCAGAATACCCCTACAGTTACAGAACTGTGATCATGAGGAAATCCTTTGGAGGGATTATAAAGGATGGTTAGTAACCCTACCTAGGTGGGAAATGCAGAGGGCTGATGTTTAGTGCACTGGACATTATGATGTGTTCTTGAACAAGACACTTTACTTTCATAGTGCCTCTCTCCACCCAGGAACATGAAAAGATAAAACCTGTTTACAAGCCAAGTGGCCCATTGGGCCAGCATTTAAATTCGGTTTCTTTTGTATGAAGTGACTAGGAGTATTTCAACTCCCCCCTTGATGGAATGCCAGTCCATTGCAGGGTTACCCCCATGATTAAATTTGCTGGTACCAATCTATTCTCCTGGGTGAAGATATGCACTGTGATTGTAAAGTGCCTTTCCCAAGAACACAACATAATGTCCCTGGCCAGGGTTCAAACGTGGACCACTTGACCCAGAGTCGAGTGCACTAACCATGAGGTCACCCCGCCTCCCAGGAGTATGAAAGGATGCCTACAAATGGACAGGGAAGCCTGATGAAATATGGGGGTTAACCTTGTAATGGTATGGCATCCCATCCACAGGGGAGTGGTAATACTTCAAGTAACTTGTGGAAACTGAGACAAGTTTCAGCTAGATATGCCACTTGGCTCAAGCTAAAAGATTTCATTATAGCATAGATCCTACATAAGAATGATGCCATACTGCAGGAATGTATAGTTGGTTCCTCTACCAAATCAGAAGGGAATTTTCAGGAAATCAAAAACAAGACATCATAAACAAAATTACATGTGCAGTGTAAGATTCTTATCACAAATAATTAAATAACCATAATAATAATGCAATCATGATAATTTTATAACATACTCAGGATTCTGTAAACTGGTGCTCTAAATGCTTTCCTTGAATCCCAGTAACTAATAATAAAAACAATTAAATAGTTTAAAAACAAAATTTCGACAAAAATGAAAGTTAAATTAATTCCTGGGGGAAACAATCTGCCATCCAAAAATTACTGAGGTCTCAACTACCAGTACCAGAATGTGTACTTCAAAATTACATCTAGGGTTGTGATATTTACTTCTACAGTAAATATCAGTACTGTCAACTACGATATACGTGGAAGATTATAACTGTGATCAGAATCCATTAAGGAAATCAACAATTACGTACTCATTTTTTCAACAAAAATTTGGAAAAGGAGCATTGGACAGTCGCATATTTTTTCCACAACAACATTCTCAAATCAAGCATGTGTATGTAAGCATCCCTAAGAGGCTGTTACAATTATAAATGTACAAACCTAAGTGCATTATCAATAGATGTGGACCAGAGCCAATGTTCATTAGTGTGACAGTATTCCAGACCTGTAATCCTTGCAGAATGAGCTGTAAAAGTGAAATGATGTGAAAAAATTTCCCCTATTTATGCTGGGATAGCAATCATTTGAATAATTTACAGTAATGTTTGCTCTAGTTTTTTTTCAAGTTCTTTATCATCTTGTTTCTACTATTTTTTGGGTAAGCTGTATTGTAACATGGACAAATATAAGACTGCATAGAAAGAAACAAAGAAAAAAAAAAATGAACAGGAAAGTTTATCTGACCTTTATCTGTTCAACCACCACTAGTCATGACAAACACTAAGACTTTATGTCACTTCTTTCATGTTTTTCTATTAGGGAAGTCTTCATTTACCATAAAAATTTGTTACAGTAAAGTATTAATTACCATATCTAATCAATTTTATAATGAGATCAAAATATTACCTTTAAAATCTGCAACATAAAGAAGAGTGTCCACGTTTAACAGCTTAATAGAACCTTGTGGTCCTATGAATTAGGTGTTAAATTTCAAAATAATTAATCAACATTACTAGTAGTATAAAAATAAAGAGCTAAATAAAATGTTTATGAAATAGGGTCTTGTTCAGGCTAGCATTCAGGCCTGGATATTAGTTTAAAATAAATATAAAAATATCAAAACAGTAACCAATCCACTCTTTTTTTTTTTACCTCCAACTGCAAAAACATCTTGTTTTGGGCTGAAATTGTAATAAATAAAAGTATTATCAAAAATCATGGAAAAGATAGAAATAAACTGAGGAAAACAACAGAATTTAAATGTAAGGAGTATGGAAATTTGCACTTTAATCTAAGACATATAAAGAATAACAAGACAATAGACATTTATCAAAAAAAATTGGTCCTAACAGCCACTTATTCTAAATGTTATCATAAATAAGGCCAAAAAATGCTGTCTTGGGGAACAAAACAATAAAAGTTGACTCCCAACATGATTTTTGTGAAAAGCAGTAAATTGGTTTTAAAGGAGACATTAAAATGAGCAAACCTTAGACTAAGAAATTATGTTGATGATTTCCCTACAATGAAAAATGAATTTTTGAAACATAAAGGCATGTCCCAAGGCCTCATGCACGTTCTGCTAGTCTTACCAGTCTTCTACATGTATGTTCCTCACCGATTAAGGATTTAAGAGATCCCTTGGTTTGTTTAATTAGATTTTTATCTTTGAATTTAAAACAGAAGGAAGTTATACTCTGCATCTGTCTTTCACCTGAAATAATTTTTAACATTTGCAAACAGTACCAAAAGAACATGTAAGTTTGAAATGTAACCGTATGTGCTCTTACCTTATTGAAAGATGCGTTACATACCATAGATCCTTCTCTAAACCCTCTTGAGTTAACTTGAGACGATGACGAAGATCAAAACCACCTGGAAACGATGAGCTTTTTGGATCTACACTCGCCATGACGAACAAAACTAATATCTAGTGTCACCATTTCCAACCACCGCCATGTTTTTAAATGATTGGGAAGAGTCTGGAGCTTGGGCATGAGTAGTTTCTAGTCTTACGCGGTGGTAATGATTTGTTTACCAAGTTCATTACATGCTAAGCTACGCCGGTTGTTCCCAACTTTCATAGTGATAAAATTGAAGTATTATCTCTCACACAGGTAAGGATATTATTATCAGTAACTCCATTTTCAGCCTCGGATCTTCTGTTAAAATAGATGAGTCGTGTTCGCGTAGAGAGGTGATTAAAAAAATTGAAAGTTTGCACAACAAACGAGCCGGGTGGATGAAACGAATGACAGCCCTAACTGACCTCTCAAAGTAGTCACTTTTCATTCACTATTTATGAGGACTCTTATATTTTGTTGCTTCGTAACTACTATACTTTGTCCTAGGATCGTTCCTTCTCAAATTCTCAATTAGTAACCACAAGTTATTTCTAACACCTCAGTCATAGACCATGACATTTAGAAGTATTTGAACAACAAACAACTTAAATGCGATAAGATCTCCATCTGTGAATGACAAAATAACGTTTAGTACCTCTCGGCTATACTAAAACAAGCACATACAGCTGTCTATCAATAATGAATTACTACAAAAGATCGTCGAGATTTGACCATCGCCGATACAATGTTGTTATCTTTAACTTCTGTGGTAACTGGTAAACGATGCTTAGCACAAAGTTTACACGAAATTGTGGTTGTGGTGATCCTAAATTTCACAATATAAAAGTCCGACATTTCAGACGCAATAAGCGTTGTGTCTGTGAATTTACCACCTGTTAAGCTATTTTATTGTCTTGGAAATAATTCTGTGGCTATTGTGGATCTTTAATTGTTGCCAATACTTAGTTTCATTCAGTCATTGATGTATCGTTCATTAATAATAAAATTGCATGTTTCTGAGCTACAAGTTCAGAAAAAAGTGTTTCTTTGAGACAGTAGTGTTTTTACGTTGTCCTTTATGTCAAAACAGTTCAAATCATAACGATTCGAGTAATATTCGATTGTGCATTTTTTTAAATGCAAGGAAACAAACGGGATAACGCAGAAGCCGCGATCCTTCAAAGCTTTAAAATAATAAAAAAAAAAAAAACATTACGTGGATTTATTTTGAGTCCACGTTGGCTCCTTGTGGTACCAGTTATTTGTTTGACGGGCAACTTAATGAGGCTTTAAAGATAGAAATTGTGAATAATTTGTATACAGGTTATTATTTCAAATCTTGTCTCCTCCGATTGATTTTTTTGGTATTTTTAAGGCTGCGCCTTAAGTACGAGTAAATAGTTATTTAGAAATTCTTACAGCAATTGAATCGTAAATAGACCTTGACCAAAGAACAATATTGAAAGAAAACCACAGTAAGTTATTTGTTTTTTTACCTTTTGTATTTACTTGGTGGAATCTTTTGTGCCATGTGATAAATCATTTATTGTTCAAACTTGTTTGATGAAGAGGGCGAGTATTGACCGCGTGCCTCTTTTGTGGTTTTGGGGACAACGACTCTCTGTCAGTCCATAAAACTGCACAATAAAAGAGAGCAGTGTGGTAAAAATGACACACATATATTTGGCCAAAAAAAAAACATCAGTCTAAGATGTATAAATTGTTCAATCTCCCTTCCTTTCTGCAATAATATGCGGCGGGGTTCGTAATAAGAAAAATGCCCTTGGCGAAAAATAGCGCAATGAGTAAGCAGTCATGAACGTTTTATTCTCTCTCTTCCTTTTAGGTAATTCTCCTCAAGCGTTTACAATGGCCGTAAACCCTTGGTTCCGCTTACTGATATACGGCATGCTTGGATTTGCGTACGAGATTGTCTTCACTTCATTCTTTGATTTTGTGGCTTCCAATTTCACCGACTTCAAGTTTAAGGGGTACTCTTCGATTTGGTCCTTCTTCATCTATGGCACCTGTAGTTTTTGCGGCGAACAAGTATACTTCCACATCAGAAATCGTTTATCTGTATTTTGGCGCGGCTTAGTTTGGGTTCAAATGGCTTACACTTGGGAATTTTTTGGTGGCCTCATCCTCGATCAATTTTCCGCGCGCACTTGGGACTACAGCCTTTACAAGTATGACGTCATGGGGTTGATCGCACTCGAATACGCGCCGCTCTGGTTTTTCAGTGGTGTGCTTCAAGAATTTGTTTACGAGTATTTGTTAAGCTTGTCTTTACCGCCTTCTGCTAGGAAAAAAGAGGGGATCGAGAAAATGAGCCAAGAAATTAATGGAAACTTGAAGATAGAGTAAGAGCCAGTGAAGGATTTTGGACGGAATAAGCCCATTATGAAATAAAATGAATGGATTGAAAAAAATTGTTCCCAAAGAAACACACGCGATTATAGATCATAAAATTCTGAGTTATGATTCTGAGTTTGTCGGGTTCTATATGAAGGGTTTATTTTCTAAGGAATTTTTTACGTCTTGGATTCGAAGGCTATGGTGAGGACTATTTTTCAAGTGCTCGTTAAATTTTTGCACATTGAGATAGAATCTGTTAAGAAAAAATGTTTCTTTGTCACCACGGAGAGAAATACTCAGTGCTTTTTGTAATTTTGCACTAAATTGAATCGTTGTAATACTAAGGGACCACGCACTGTGTCAGCATAAAATTCAGTAGTACATGGAGGGTACATGAGGTGACAGTTTGTCAAAGTTTGTCAAAGTATTTATACCTAAGACTCACATTTCAAGTATTTGGACTTAAGTATGCCCACCCTTTAAGGTTTGGAATAAAAGTTTGACAACACCTATTGATTTGAATATTTGTGAATAGGAACCTTAATGTTCAATCCGGATGGTTTTCCCAATTGGATGACTTCCGGCAGGAATCCATTGCTCCTACTTCCGGACATTACGTTAGAACCAAGAGCATGATCGCGAACTTTTCGATGTGTTACCAAGGTCAAATATATTATGCTCGAAGACTCGAGCATTATGCGTTTGAGCGTCACCATTGTAAACATAGCATTATTTCCAAAATTTATGCTCATGATTTTTCATTATGCCCCTTTAATGACTCAATTCAAGAGCATTTAGAGGCCCTTCAATCTCCTCTCTCACTTTCCACTACTGCTGACAGATAAAACTTGCAAGAGATAAAAAGGCTTACCGCACTTCAAAACATAGCATTTTATCGGTCGAAATCTCAAACAACACATTTATCTCCTCTTGAACTATAACATCAAGGAACACTCGAAGTAATCTTTTAATCGCGTTCATGCTCCAGCAGAATTGTAGTCTTTATGCCGGCGTTATCATTCTCGATGCTCTGGCTTAAGCATTATACCTAAAATCATGCCAGCATGCTGACCAGAAACTATTGAACAAAAGTTTATCTTTTAAATCGGCACTCTTAACCCCACAGGCATCAACGAACGCTTTTCATTCGACTAATTTATTCTTGATTTTCTTGACACCATGTTTCCACCAAAAGTGTAGCTCCTCTTTCTGCATATAAACCCACACACAACCCACAATTTCTCCATTCGCTCTGACGAAGGGCTATGGTGGCCAATTTACAGTTTCAGCTTAGTTGATATAAGCAAATTACATTATTCATTGTTTGTTTGAAGGTATCAGGGTACCTCCATGTTTTATTTCCGAGGAAAAGGTCAAACCTTTCCGGAAAAACCTAATTTCCGTTTTGTTATCCTTTGGCGAGGGTAACTTCTATCCTAGTCGATAAAGATTTGTATAGGAAGACAGACATCAGGTCTTGCAGCAAGTACGATAAACTTGACTCACTTCACACTTCATAACCGCTACATGAACACAGAACAACAATGACTGTTTCCATTCCGTCTTATCAACTGTTGTTTTTACAATCAGTCAGTTTGAATGCTCAAAACAGGAAGAAAACATTCCCGAGACTCCAGAAATTCTGAAGTCTCACAAAACTGTAAGTTCACAAGCTCTCAGAAGGCTCAGAAGCACGAGAAATTATTCTGCACAAAGTACATTTAGATAGAAGCTATCAACTTATCGTAAACTATCTCCTCTGAGATATGGACTTAGTGAATTGATGTAAATTTTGTAACTTTCCGATTGAGTAAAATAGGTGCAACTGAATATAACTGTTTTGAAACGTGCCATCTTTTGCTGGTAAGTGCTAATTCATGATCCGTGGTGATTTCAAGACAAACAAAACAAAAGCAAACGGGCGAAGCAGAATAGCATTACTCAAGATATAACTAGTATAACAAACGGATGCAATCTAATTTGTTCTTAATCTCTTAATCAAACTGAAACTCCATTTACACCGAATTCTGGCGATGCATGATCAAAATATCGTACGCGCTCCGTGAAAATGATCAGTGTCAAGTTAACGCAGAATTTGCTTAAGGATACTGCCTTTCTTCCTTACTAAGTTTTTATCCGGACTCAGTTTGTCTAACATTTTGTGGAATAACGTATCGATGTTCAGATTGAATTTGGCCGAAGTAGCCAGCCATTGGCACTTAAATTTCCCCTCCAGGTAGACGCACGCGCTAATTTTTAGTCCATTCGTGTTCACAAACGTTGGCTCCGACAAATTCGGAATATCTGATTTGTTAGACACAATAATGACAGGAATTCTCCGATTTCTTTCAGCGCAATAGCTCTCGATTTCATCCATGTATCTTTCCAACTTCGTGAACGATTCTGGCTTGTCCAAAGAGTACACCAAAACTGCTGCGTCCGCCTTATGGATAGCAATTCTTCTCATCGCAGGAAACTCGTACGTTCCTGAAGTGTCGATGATTTGAAGCTCGTAAGCTCTGTTTCTGTGGGTTATTGGCTTAACGTAGAATTCTTCCACCGTAGGAACGTGATCGGGTATATACTTCTCGCCCACAAGATGACGGACAATGGAACTTTTTCCCACTCCAGAATCTCCGAAAACCGCAAGAGTGTACCTCTTGAAATAAACGGGTTCCTCGGAATTCTTCGAATCATCCGAGACGCTTAACTGCATCATGGCTGCGTTCAAGACAAAGCGATTTTACAGGATGTTCATGCGCAGTAGATTGATAAACATGGTGTTCAAGCTTAGCTTACGTTGAACTCCTCGAATGAATTTGAGCTTGAATAAATAAATACTTGACCCGTTTTACCGAAACATTATACGTACTTCAAAAACACCGATGACAACTTTATGCGCTCTTGTGGAGACTTGCAAGCTCCAACGAGAGCAGAAGGTTGCATTAAAGTGAAACAAACATTTATGAGAGTAAACTAATGCACCACATGGTCCCTAACATGAATGTAAACTTCTATATGTGGCAGGGACACAAATCCAGGTTAAGGGAAAAGTGGCGATTATTTTCAGTTCTCAGCAAAGAATTCCGTCGTTTACCTTTAAAACATACCAAAACCCACCCACGATCCTTTTATTAGCAGCAGGAAAATATTTCGAATAGCACAGAGAAAATCCGTTTAGCCTAGAGCTGTTGAATCGCTGAGCTACATTTCTAATCTTTGCAGACAATTCCTTGCGAAATTTGCGAGTTCAAAACACTTGCACCTTTTATGGTATAAAAATTAATTGCGTTATCAGAGTTGACAGAGACTACTACTTACTGGCTAATTGAGCGCTCATAGGCAAACTGATTAGCTGTCATATTATCAGTAACAAGAGGGGCTGCCTATTGGTCACGGTTTGCACGTTACATCATTGCCGCCATGTTGGTGGGCAGAAACAACAGATATCTCATTAGCTTCTTTTGTTCGTCCACCAGCATTTGTTCCTTTCATGCGATCACCATTGTTACCTGTGTCTCTAGAGATTAGTTGCAAACCACCCATAGTTAGCGCTTTGCTAGCAGGGAGACATATGGGGAAATGGAAAAGTCTGTTTTTAAAACCCTGGGGCGGATCCAGCTTTTCAGTCGAGGGGGTTCGATAAAAGGCGGCGCCCCAGTAGGGGTGGTCCGGGGGCATTCTCCCCCGGAAAATTTTTAAATTTCGAGTCCTCAGAAACGCGATTTGCGCCATTTTGAGGCAAAGTCAGTGTGTGTTAATATCTCATTTTTAACGTTAAAATGCCATTCTTTTTCTCGCTTTTTACCACCGTTTTCGTTGATACGCGATTTTGAAAAACAAAACACTCGCGGAAACATTTCCAAAATTTCCGTCAGTCTGAACGTGTTATCGACAGATCGGATCGAAATTTACCAATCATCGCCTGCTAGCATAATGTAAAGAAGGTCAGAAGGTAACACTAGTGGCTGTGATTGGTGGGTTTCGATCCGATCTGTCGATAACACGCAAGACTGACGGAAATTTTGGAAACGTTTCCGCGGGTGTTTTGTTTTCCAAAGTCGCGTATCAATGAAAATGGTGGTAACTCAAGAATAAGAACACATCTATATCCACGGTTCGTCACAAAATAAATCGATGCTTTCTAATTCGCCGCTCCTACAGTACTTATTGAGTGCACCGCTCGTTGTAAAGACTGAATTTCCGTGACTGGACTGTCTGGTAATAACTGAAAGGCGTAGCTATACGAAATGTCGCTTTTGGCGTGATGCTTCACAGAAGCATGAAAATAAGTGACAACTAAAAGAGCCACATTTACATTGAACCAAAAATTTATTTATTTTTTATGGAGAAAATGTTTTAGCTTTATCGAGCAGCAGAAGCTTAACTTTGCTATGAGCTTTTTTCATTTAAGATTGACTGTTTTTAGTTAAGATTTTTACAAGTTTTTGACATTAGTTGTTTTAATTTAGGGGGTTCGATCGAACCCCCCGAACTTCCTCTAGATCCGCCCCAGAAACCTACTCTAAACGTGCCTACATTTCGCTCAAACTTACTCTTTCCGACATTTGTTAACAATATCGGCAAACTCAAAGAAAAAACGTTCCACCAATATACCGAGGAGAAAGTAAGAAATGTGAAAACAATTTCGTGAAATATTTCACTGATGCTACCATCAGCCCCAGTGGTAAAGGCCTCCCTCAGGACTATCATGAACACCAATCACTTACCGAGGGAAAATTTATGTACTTGAGAGACCTGTCTTTAAAATCACACCTGTTGCCAGAGCTGACGATTGACGCGTGGTTTTGTTACAGGCAATTTCGTCAAATTCATCGCAATTTATTTCAGCTGATTTTCTAGGAATCAAACCTTTTATCAATCGCAACATGGGCTTCCGTTTCTGCGAAAATCGTTACATGTTACATGTGAATCGTCTTTCGTTAGATCACAAATATCCGATCACGGATGCCGCCAACCTTAATTTTACTGAACAATTCTTGCCAACACTCATACTCTACTTGGTTTGTATTACAACCGGTTTCGGATGGCACCAAATCATAATGTCAGGAATCATATGTACGTTGGGGCATGGGATGAAATTGATATGAGACACGACTATGAAACGAAATACTTGCTGAGATCCGTTGTGTTTTTATTTTTTTCCTTTTTTATGATCCCCCTATACCTCCCGGCCGAAGTTCAAAATGCTTGCAATATTCAAATTACGCACCTACGAATTGCACAAAGGACATCAGTTTTGCATGGTTCACTCAGTACAAGATTATTATGATTCATTCCTTAAAAAAAAAAAGATTATATTATAACCAAGGGATAAGAACCCTTTTTTACTTTTCACATTTAATGCATCCAGTCTGACAGTACATCGAGCTATACAGTGGATCATCTTTCCTCAGTCCTGCCCTGAGTTACAAGTTCTAGTGGCCGGCCACTTCCCGAAAACAAACCCTTTGCCTCTTGAGAGCAAAAATCACTTTAAAAAGTCTGACAAAAAATCCAGCCACTGCCTCGCCCGTAGGTATGTGTCACGGTCTGCGAGATTTTTGAATACTCCCCGTCTCTATGGACAGAATGGATTTGTGATGAATGTTATCGATTAGTATTTCTGGTTTCATTTCGTATTTAAGGGGCAGTTTCACCTTGCGGTAAAACCACCGTTCTGGAGAAATTTAAAAGTCAATAACCAACGTGAGGTTTATAGACAAAGGTCTTGTGTTGTATTTTAATAGACACGTCTTTGTAATCATTGTGGGATCACATTATAAGAGTCCCAAGTCAACTCGCGCCACATTTGACGAAAAATAATTTAAAGTACGGTTATTTTCGGTTTTAACATTTATCAGTGAGAACATAAAACCTTACGCCTTCATAATCGTCAAGTTTTAAGGGAAAAAAGCATCTTCTCCCGCACGCATGTCGCACCAGTCATCATCTCGACACTCATTTGCATTTTAGAGAAGCGTATGCAAATTACGTCTTGTCAGTCACGCCAGTCAATCAGTAGTGTCATTATCACGCATATTGTTGTGCTGCTGCCATAAACGTGGACATCGATTGGAATTCTTGTTTCAATTTTACCCATTAAAATCATAGAATCAAATTTAGTGGAGAAAAACTTAACGATAAGAATTGTGTACAGCTGGAGATGTTTCACAATTGATACGCATGCGTAGTAGAGTTCAAAACACTACCCAACTTGTCAAACTACAATTCAGGATCGAACTTATGCGAGGAAAAAAGTCATACCCGATAAAATCGCTTTGTCTCCATTTGATGTACCGAGCAAACTTGAAAAGAAATATTTTTCGGAGTAATTCGACAGGAACTGGTAACTATAAATCCCATATGGACAACACTAGTGGTTTTATATAATCACCGCTGAACACCCAAATCATTAGCTTTGCGCAGTGGCATTACCGTAGCCAGTGAGGTTCATCCGAGGCGCGGTTATTGCTGATTGAAAACTTTTCCCAATACCCCGCAAGACGGCTTGAAATACAGCCGGCTTTGCAATTTTTGACGGTCCATACGTGGACCCTACAATCAACATAAAGAGATAAAGCGATGATTCTGATCAGTTTAGATCAGCCCACGCAATGGCTGGTCAGGGAGAGGATGAACTCTATTTCCCTGTTTTGTTTTGCCGGCTTTGATGCATTAACCAATGACTGACCGTATTACTCTGAAAGAGATCGGTCCCAGTCTGTGGTTACTTTTTCATCACCTTGTAAGCTCCAGCAAATTGCTCTATTTCAGTGCTAAAAGATATGAAGGTGACAAGAACTCTATTTCTTCATCAACGCTTTTGCTCAAAATTTAGTAAGCGTGGCCAAACAACCGAGAAGGATGTTATAAAAACTTTTGATATCCTCGCCCTCACTGAACCTTAAGCATTTCACCCTCAGTCAAGCTGCTAGAAATTGCCCTGGATACCTGTTGATGAAATCTGGTAAAATATCAGCCTTTATTATCCAACTACACCTAGACGAGTACAAATAACGCAATAGACGAGTACAAATATCACGCGGTATTTGTACTCGTCTATTGTAGAGTACCGGTTAAACAGGTTTTCTCGCATCGCGCAAGCGAAGAATTGGATTGTAGTTACGAAAAAAAAAANTCCCCGTAAAGCGAAATTCGCCCGCACTGCACTAACAGTTTGGCGTGTTGGATAATAATGACTTATACGTTTTGTTGTGTAGTATCGCTGAGTATTTTTAACGTTATTTGTATTTTGACTCGCCCTACGGGCTCGTCAAAATACGGCACAACTCGTAAAAGTACTCAGAATATAAATTGGTTATCGTAAAGAGTTTCTAGGCTGACGTTTCGAGCGTTAGCCCTTCGTCAGAATGTTAGCCCCTCAGCTTGAGCCCTTTGCTCTTATGATGGGCTGACGCTCGGAGCGTCAGCTTATAAACTCTTTACGGGGGCTAATTTACATTATCAACTCAGTTGTTTAAGCTAAAATATCTTGTTATACACCCCCACCGACGCAGCGTCACAGTTTCTTTGGAAACTTGCCCCTTTATTTATTTGAGTATACTGGCAGTTTAGTTTACAAGGTTGGTCACTCCTCTCACTACCCGCTTTCAGGAAAACCGTAACTAATTTTGTAAGGGATCACCTCAAAGAGCTCTTGTGGAAGTTAAAGTATGAGTGTAAGTGGCAGGGTGCTCACCAGCGGTGTAACTGTATTGCGTTCTTGCTCGAGATGGAATCTAATTACACACAATTATCTCACTTGATCTGATAGAGGTTATCAACGTTTGTGTTTATAATTCTCGCTAAAAGTCTTGCAAACAGGAATCCCGTTTTACCTTTATCACCAAAAAAGTGCCTTGTTGAGATTTATTGCAATACTTAGCTTTACACGGAGAAAAACGCATTCAATTTTCCTAGCGGGATGTCACGGAAGAAAGCGAAATCGACTTCCGGTGTCTTCGAGGAAGCGGATAAATTTCGACGAGCTACTTATTTCAGGACAATTACTGTGGCTGTTTTGGGAGATTCTGGCGTGGGAAAGAGCTCAATTATTCGTCATATCGTAGGGGAGGCGTTTATTCACGAACACATACCTACAGTAGAAGAATTCTACGTGAAGCAAATAACCTACAGAAACAAAACTTGCGAGATTCACATCATCGACACATCGGGAACCTACGAGTTCCCTCCTATGAGGCGAATCGCTATCCAAAAATCCGACGCTGCAATATTAGTGTATTCTCTGGATAAGCTTGGATCCTTCTCAAAGCTGGAAAAATTCATGGATGAAATCGAGAGCTGTTGTGCTGACAGCAATCGTCGAATTCCAGTCATCATCGTGTCTAACAAGACTGATCTTCCTAATTTGTCGGAGCCAACCTTTGTCAACACGAACGGCGAGCGAGTCAGCGCCTGTGATCATCTGGAGGACAAATGGAAGTGTCAATGGCTGCCTGCTTCGGCCAGATTCAACCTAAATATGGATGTGATTCTCCCTAAACTCTTGGATAAACTGTCTCCTGAGAAGACACTGGAGAGGAGTCCTAGCCACATTTGGAAGCGCAGATTTCGTTCATTTTCAGATAAAAGCTGATTAGAAAGCTCATAGTCATTTCATCCGGCTCCAAGTCGCTTGGTATGTTTCACGCTGTAATCTCGCTGAATCATTTTTCTAAACCCTTCGTAATTTTTGTGGCTAAGTTACAATGTATGTACAAATTATTTCGTCGATGTCAGGTGCAATAAGAAAAATCCTGAAAATGAAAAAGACACTTACGAGGTATCAGTTAATTATAGGTTTCTGTCCCACAAAGAGATAGTCATTGTGAACGAAGCTTCTTCAAACTAGGCTTTCATTAGAACCGTCATGTATTCTTAATACATAAATTAAACGAGTCTAAGAAAGGTCTTTGATGAATAAGAAAACGATCCACAAAATAAGAATTCAAAACAACTTAAGGCAGAGCTGATGACGGGTCATTTACGTGCTTGGCTCGGCCCTTGTGACCGGCAGATTTAGAGGAAGATTTTGTCGGCGAAATGTCCGCTGCCAGGACGCAATCCATTGCTATGTGAGTCTGTTTTAGGGATTTGCCAGTTTGCTGTAAATTTTCGGCTTATTCCAAAACAATGAAATTAAGAATCACCAAAATAACTCATCTAGCTCATCCAATGGAAAAACTTAGACAAACAGATAACTAGACAAAGTCGCTTTCTCCAGAGGAGAGATCTGATGTAATGATAATGATCTTGTTACGTTCTAGCTCTAAAAATACGATTTGATTAATAAACTATGGTAAGATGCGCTAATAAAATCCATCCTATAAAGTGGCCCGGATCTGGTCAGGGATCATTACGATATATTATTGCCTTTTGCACAAAAGAAGACGGCACTTAAACTATCCAGGATCCGTCCTTCGCTGAATTGTTATGCTATTAAACGAAGTTCCTTTTCACGGTCTTTGTGTCACTCGTCGATATTACTTCCCGTCAAGTTCGGTGTGTTGAAACCTTTTCTTCTGGAAATTTCTCATGCGGTATTTTTTATATTTGAAAACATGACTCCTCTCCGGACTAATTAGGTAAAATACTTCGTCCCTTGTATCCCTTCCCTAAAACATCTTTTTTTTTTTTTTAAGTTTTAATGAGAGAACAGTTCTTGTAGTTTGTATTTTCTCTTCGCAGTATAAAATTGACCGAGAGGCAACAGACATCTCGGTTTTGATCGGGTAGTCTAGTTGCGAACACGGACCCAAACCTCCTTCGTTTTCTTCACTCCTTCATTAGAGACTAGGCCTAATGAGGCCGAAGTGGCTGACTATGGCTCATCAGTTTTGTGAGTGCTTGGTTTTTATGTTATGGCTGATGTGTCTTCCGGTGGTTAGATTGTTTTTACGTCAAAGATATATCAGAGACGTGTTGTTTCCAACAGTGTGCTGTAGCAAGAAATAAAATCTGAACACAATTTTAGTTTTGACTGTTTCTGCACGACAAATTCTTTGTTTACCTCAAACTGTTATACTTTCAGTAAAGGATTTTTAATTGCATTTCAGTTTGATGCTGGGAATATCATAAACAGGGAATCAGCTGTGTTGCCAGGCTTACCGATAAATAATATTCTTTGCCTCAGTGGTTGCGTCAATTTGTGTAGACGTTCAAAGTTGTCAGATCGTGAATAAACGTGCACGGTTTCACAGTACAAGCTGCATTTCCGAAGGCTACCCTCACCTAAACAAAATAAGTACAGAAACAATCATGTGTTTAATGGCGTGTGACTGGAAATGACGAAGTTGCTCTTGGGCCCTGTGCGATTTCCTCTTTTGCGTGATCAGTTACATGTGCCGTAGACTCACGCGCATGAATGCAGGAATGAGAAATGGGACAACGTATGGAGAGGTTTAGTCCCTCTGACCATTAAAAGAAATCAGCGAAATGCACATAACGAGCCAGTGAGCGAACACTGCATGACGCAGCGTTTTCCGTTGACTTACGTCACGAACTGATGCATAAAAAAAGGACTGTTGAGACTCGAAGGTTTGCGTCTGCATCGAAAAACAATTCAGACGTAGGCTTCTTTTACCACTACAGACACAAGCTTTCCATTTATCCCTAGCGGTTTGTTTTACGTACATATTTCCTGTAAAATACGTACCTGTTTAAGCAAGCGTGCGTTTCTGCTGCACTAGAGTTCCAGTTTTACGCACGCACTCCCGCCCGCCGGCTGTTGTTATCAAATCCATTTGACATGAATTTGGTAGCGCGAATTTTTCAACCAACCGCAGATAATCATGATTACCTCGAAGAATATGCGGGCATGACAAACGTTTAACCAGCTAATTAGTATGTTTTTTTCTGCGTTGCAAATTCGTTTTGACTGGTTTCATTTTTCGTACACGCTCAAATTAATATGCAAAACAACTATACTAGAAACGTTTTATCTGTTTGACTGAAAATAGAGAGAGAATTGGTTTCGCCTTGTTCCTGAAAATCCATCATTGCTCTGTCAGACCAATCTAACTCGAGATGTGCAAAGCAGAACTTACACTGAAGAACAAATATCAAAAGCAGTGAAAACCATTTAATTATGAACTTCAATATACAATGACCACAAGCTCTTTCTTCTCATGATCATGATTACCTCAAACGTTTTTGACGTCATTACTGAGGCACAATGACTGGGACTACAGATTATCAGCAAAATTAACAGATTCTCATTTGGCCTTCACATGAATTAAATAGCAAAAATCAAATGTTATAGCTAGACGAATCTTTGTTTATACGAAACATTTTCTGGCCTTTTCTCAGAGAAGGAATTTAGGTGTAGAGAAGGAATTTGCACGCACTATCGACCGATGAAAACAAACAAATTCTTGATTTGAGAGCGCTCTGTCATGTCATTGAGTGATATTTGGCTGGGGTTGTTTACAGCCACGTGCCACGTTTACAACTTTGAAGATGAAGGAAACTACAAAGTGTTAGCTCAATGAGACACAAATATGATGACTAAAAAATTCTAAATGTAATTAACGCACTTGTGAAATGATGATTGCATTCCTCTAAAGGAACAAACTATGACGAGTTCCTTTACCAAGGTTTAGTAATGCTGAACTAGAAAAAATAATATTAATAATTTAGGCCGCGTGCTTCCTTTCACAGGTCCTACATTGCAAAATTTGACTCAAACTGATGTGCTTACCTCTTCTCTCTGCAGCTTTTCGTAAAATAAAATCTATAAGCAATCAATCTTTATTCTCGAAGTTTCGCTCATCCCATCTAATGGTTGATTGCGGAGAGGATGATGTAAAAATTTGTGTTTTGCAATACGTGTTAATTGTCTCAACTTGTTTCGTTGATCAGGGATTTGTTTTTTTCTTTGGTGATGGCTTCAGTCCAACACTTTTTAGCTTCTCACCTTAAGTGTCGACCTTAGTTTCGACTTTCTACCCGAAGTCAGTTCTTGTTTTGATGTACTCTTTAATTTGGTGTTCGCCTCAACCGCCTTACTGATTGAAGTGTTATCTTTTATTTGCAGCTCGAATTTGTTGTCGCCCAGAAGATCGATCATCGTGATTCCCATCCTATTCATTGAAAAGTGATTAACAAGCATATTCCTAAATATGTTAAGAGATTTAGTGTTTAGCTAGATCTTTGGGTAAACAAATTCCGAAATTGAAAACTGGGGAAAAAATTGTCTTTTGGAGGGGGATTAGCCTTTTGGAACTTTGTCACATTTTTTTTACGTAATTTGAAAGAAATCAACGGTGTTTTCAAGGGTGCCGTACTTTGAAATATTATGTTAGAAACGCAGGTGAAAACAAGCAGCTATTTGAAAAGTTCAAAACCAGAGCATCCTCTGCGGTTTGCCGGTTTCAGTTTGCGTCGATCGCTGAAACACTATTGCGAAAGGTTTATTTATACCGGACTCGGTATATTTTTGGAGAGAACATAATACCAAACATACATTTCCTGTTATCTGTCATTTGCCACAGGTTAAAGAATGATACCGAAAGAAAATAATGATAATAAAAATGCTATTCTAGGCGACACGTCCTTACTACATAAAGCTTCCATTAACTGCTACATTTCTTTTAGTTACTATTTCTGCCATGTTCACACGGTAATATTTATCCAAGCTTATAAAAATATTTCTTGCCGGCCAGCCGGCTTTCTGAAAAATATATTCTTGTTTATATATGTATTAGTTTAGCTTCTCGACAATAATATCACAACTGAATTTAGCCTTAAATATAAGCGTCTGCAAACCTAAATTTCAACGGCGGATGACACACTGTGTTTTTCGTATAAAGCTGTTCTTGCGAGTTATTTACAACTAAGAAGGAAGCTACAAGAGAGACAAAGGAACTGTAAAATACGTCAGACGGAAAATTTGTCATTGGCCTTCACAGTTCTTTAAATTCAGAGTATTCAAATATATCTATTGTTGAACTTTCTTTATATCCTTGCGAAATCTTTGCTGACTTCCCACGCAATAAATTAGACATTTGAAGGCGAAAACGACAACAGCGCCTTCGCTTCTTTGAAAGAGTACCGTCTCGGTTTGTTCAATGTTTGCGTACGATTAGAAAGCGATGTTAATAGTTTAATCATGTCTCTGTCGCCCTGTTGTAAGGCGATTCCCAGCGGCGTTAGTCCGTCGTCAGTTTTCGCTTTGGCGTTCGCGCCACGACCGATAAGAAGCTCGGCGCACTGTAAACTTCTCCCGCAAACTGCGGCGTGAAGCGGTGTCCATCCTTCGCTGTCTATAACGTTCACATCAGCTCCGCATTGAATTAAAGCGCTTACACAACTAAATTTCCCGTCATAAGCCGCCTCGTGAAGTGCCGAAGCTCCGCTCGAAGTTAGCTGATCAATATTCACGGACCCCGAGAGTAAAATATTTTTGAGAGCGCCAGGGTCATTCGCGGAAACGGCCGCGCAGACTGTATACGAGGGATGAAGAAATCTCGCATTGCAATGAAGTCCTGGCTTTGTGTAACTCTGTAGCGCCTGTAGCCTCGGCGAGTGCTTTCTATCCCAGGGATTTTCATCTTCTACCGTATCGATTATTATCTTTGGAACGGAGGAAAAATTTTTTTTGTCCGTTTTCGAGGTCGCAAAAAGTTGCGGCGGTAAATTGTATTGATTTGTTATTCCATGAGCTTTGAGTCCGTTGGAAAGTCTTGTTAATTTTTTCTTTGGACGAAAACTGTTTCTTTGCGGCATGAACATAGAGTTAACTGAATTCATTCCGCTTTCTACTGGCACGATAGTTAACTGTGGTAATACTGAAACCATTTCCCTGAGAGAAGTTGCTGTGTGTAGAACTCTGAAATTATGAATTTCTTTCCGTCACTGCCAGTGTCCTTGGCTAAGCACACCAGATTACCTCGCCGTAACCTGCGAACAGCCTTAAATGTATTCTTTCAATTTCTAGGCTCAAGACTAATTGCGCTGGGAAATTCAATCCCATGAACACATGCTTGTCTTGAGAGGCTCTCGAAGAAGATGTCCAGTGGTCCAGGAGAGATTATTGGCTGAACAGTCTTATTTTATGTATAAATGGTGATGGAAAAGTCGAGAACCTTGCTTATTTGCTTCTAGTTCGTAGAGATATGCAACTGACCTCTGCCTGATGATTTGTGATGGTTGATTCATGTTTCAGTCACGATCCAACGAACACATAATGGGGTTATTTTTCCATCGCATCCAAATTCCTGTCAATCATGCTAGTCTTGACGTCAAACCGTTGTTATTTTCCGGCTTAGGCAATAAGAGATTTTTATTGATTGTCTTAGGGGATCTCTTTTATCCTTATTGTGTGAACTTAGAGGGTGTCAATCGAAGAAATGACAGTTTTGAATATAAATACGATTTAGTCACTATTTTTGGAAATTGTTGACAAAGCGAAACAGTAATTGTTTGGATTTTAAACGAATGGAGACAGCGAGAACGAACAAGGGTTGGATGTTGTTTAAGGGAGCGCGAGATTAAGAACTCATTCCAGAAAATTCAACATGCATTTCGTTTTTAACATTCATCCGTGGTCGAAGAGTCAATATACGCCAGCTGCCCACTGCTGTTTCGTAGGCTTGGGCTCTTTGACGTCACGCGTTAAAATCCATTTTTGAGCTCACTTCTGTTTTAAAACACCTTTATTTTTAATTGTCCAGCAATTAGGGTTATCACGTTTATTTAGTCTTTCTTGCCTTTAGGAACTAGCAAAACTTGGACTGAAGGAAAAACGCTGATTCATTCAATCGAATTACAGAAGTTTTGTTCATTGATGCATGATCTTTTTTGACAATTTGCATTTGTAAACGCATTGGCAAACAGCGTAACGACATCATTATTCTCTGAAATTAAAACTGCAACGATCTTCTCTATAGACACCACTCATGTTTATATGGATGAAAAAAGAAGTATGAGGCTATCGTGGAAAAGTATACATCAAATCAGAAAATATCTAAATAACCCTTGGACTAAAAAACAGTAGCTCGGATCAGTGAAAAGAAGAAAAACTTACAAATCTTGTTTATTCGGACTGAACAGTCTTTTGCGTGCTCAGTCATAGAAAATGACATAGGTTGTTGCCATTCAATTGGTCATACGGTACACAGGGATACAATGAGTCAAATTCGGACTATCAAGATCCATAGTTTTGAGAAGGAATTATGTTTTTAGGAGGAAGCTAAGACAAAGATTGAGTCCCAGTGAAACAAGCGTGATTGCCTCGGGGTTCATACAAGTATTCGTGACTCAGGTCTTTTCGAGAAACTACCTCATTTGTAACGGTCTCGCAGCGTTGTTAACATATCGTCAACAGCTAGCAGAGCATTTATGTGAAAGCTCTTGGTTAAAAACAAAGCTTAGGGTGATAGATTCTGGTGCAATACGGCCTGCCAGACAAACAAATATTCATGAAGAAAAAAATATCTCCCAAAACGAAAGACATGATCATGATCAGTTGCGCTCCGAAGGTCACCATGATTGCGCATGCACGGTCACTAGTATGTGACAATCGGAGAGCAGAGAGTGTTAGCACACTTTCTGAAGCGAATCTTCTTGTTGAGTTCGGCGAAGATGATTAAAGAAGTAAAGTACTTATCAAAAATTCAGTTTTAATTTCGTCATAAGCGTGCTTGATTTAGTACGTTACTGTGAGGGTGATACTACTGAAGGAGAACATACGAGATGCTTTCAGAGTTGATTACTCAATCCCAATTGTTTTTTTTTTTCTTTAAAATTATTTCCTTTTCTTCAGCAAGCTGTATCGTATTCTCACAAAGAAATCGAATAAATTTAAAATACTTGGTCGATCATTGTAAATTAAATAGAATTTTTAATTTTACGTCTAATATTGTAAGTAGAAATACACACTGTTTCAGATGTCTCTCTGAACTCTTTTTCAATTGCACTTGTCACAAACGATCATCGCTGTCTCTGCCGTATATGTGTTAAGATATTAACATTTTGTTCCATGGGAGTTGATTCAGGCTATGTCAAACCCAAAGGAGACAGATTCGGAATTTCTTTTAGGTACGTTGTTTGTAAACTCTAGAACATGCATGCATTTAGTTTTGTTTACGCTAAAACGTTTCCTGGGAGTATGCCAGCGGCATAGTTGAAAAACAAAAAGGAAATTTACACCCAGTAAAAAAATATCTTTATGCTCCTGTCGCTTTTGATCACGTCATATAAACCTAAAACTGACACAAACGCATTTAACTAGAAGTCCTCTTTTTATCTCGGCTATTTTTTAACTTTACAAAATCATTTCTCTCGTTTCTCACTGGTTAAAACTCTATTGAATTCTCTCTTCGGACACTATGAACTTGATCACGCGTCGGCTTTTAACGATCGATGTGTCAGGGTCTTGACCTCAATCTTTATCGTTGTAAATTCTTTTAAAATTCTATATTGGTTTGTCCTAAATATATCTTTGAATCAGAGAGAGATCATGTGAGATAAAGCAAGGTTCAACAGTCATTCCAAGAGCTTTGTAGCAGTAAATGAACTTTTCGAGACATCACCCAGAATTCACATATCAACGACTCAGCCTTAAAATGCCCACACTTAGGTCGTATGACGTACTTTTAATCTCTTCATCAAATTACTAAACCAATTTGAAAGCCGCTCTCTCTTCACTCTCAATATTTGCAACATCATGTTTCAAGCACGCTTTCAAATCAATCACCGCGCTCCGTCATCTCATAAATAGAGAAACTGGAAAATGCATATGGTCTTTGGAATTGCGGGCTTTTTACGTAACGCGGAGGGCAAATATGTACTTCGAAAATCCGTAAGAAATGAGTCAAGTGGATTTAAAAAAACATTTCTCAAATCCGTCAGCCATTATAAATAATGATGGGATGATGATGCGTCGGCTTACTTTTTATAGATGACGAATGAGCAGCGTGCGGCTACATCAGTCTAAGGCGCTTTTGTTTAATTTTCTTAATTTCGAACTGACAAGAGAGAACATCACTGGCTTTCTAGTTTAAAGATCTCTGTTACTATACTGTTCGGATATTCAAGTTTATGCTTAAGAGGTATAACGACTTAATTGGTGGGAGACTGCCATCGGCGCAAACGTTCGGAAAATTTCCGAAACTACAATGTATCTATTTTAATCTAGTGTAGCTTTCAAGTGGCCCCAATCTAAAGTACGCAAAAACCGCTTAAGACTCTTCATGGTCAGTGGGATCAAAAAGTTAGATCAAATGACTGGATAAAGTTAATTTACTGCAGAAAATATATTTCTAAGAAAGGCCAAATATGAAGTATGATTATAGGCTGAGAGTTGTGTGAAAAGGCGTCTTTACCAAAATACTCCCAACAGCCCCTTTTAGTAGTCTCCCTTGCAGCCCTTTCACGCAAGCGAAAACTCCCCCACCAAGTTTTGGTGGGGGAGTTTTCGCTTGTGTGACGACGCCGGAAACGGCTGCAACGGAGACTACCCTTTTTAGTACATTGGTAAACTTTTTGAGCATCACGTCAATGTCCCGATCAAAAATTCGAGATGATGTCACAGCAAAGTGAACAATATTTTCAACAGATGTTGTTTAGTCACAAATGATATAGTTTTTACGCGAACAAGTGAAGGGACTGAGTTGGTTTTTGAAGGTGCTCTGTTGCTGTTGTTAGCGCACGGATATGTCAAAATAAAATGAAAAAAATCAGCTCGACTAAAGAAGGATGTTTTCGATTTTGGCCCCCTTTTTTCGTCTTGTTAATAACGAGGGAAATGGTTGGAAATATTCACCACTAATTCTCAATAATCATCCATAGAGAAAATCATAACTCTTTTCGACTGGAAATCAGAAGGTTTGAAACTTCGCGTATAAAATTTTACGGTAAATATTCTTGTGTTTAAGTCTTGCTTCGTAGCTATGGGGGAGTCATTTGTTATCGGGTCGCGAATACATGTAACGCACAAAGAACTGAGGGATCACAAGACTGAAACATTTCACTCAGTCGTCGATTGACACATGTCTTCCTACGCGTTTCTCTTGGACGACTCTTGGACGACTCGTACTCCTCCGCAAGCAGGGGCTCTTTTAGTTTCTTCTTTTTTTTTTATTTTTTTTTTTATTAGTTCCTCAGTTACAGCGTACTCTAATGCGAATACACCGAAATGAATAAACTTTGACCAGAGAAAAATAAAGGGACATTACTTTCTGTTGACCCGCTTTGACAAGCTTGTAACATCCGATCTCAGGGACATGTTTTGTCAGTTATTCGACTGAATGCTGTAGCATTGCACGCCACAACAAGGAAAGCTATCCACAGGAAAATGAATCTCAATTAATGATGGCATTTTTAGAGGTAATAGCATTACATTTCATGTTAATCTTCTAGATTGACCCCGCGCTATAAACCTGATTGACGTCTGGTTGAAGAGACATTAAGGCAATTAGTAATATATGGCTATCTTATCACTGTAATGTTCAGGAGTTCGCTTATACAGTTCGCTTATACAGTTCGCTTACAGTTCGTTTACAGCTCGCTTAGTTTGTTCGTTATCCAAGATTTTCTCACACCCCGTTCTCACTTTACAGTGCACAATAAATACTCGAGGCTACGTCTCCTGGGGCCTTGGGCGTGGACTTGGAGGCCTAGACACTACAATCACGTCAACCGTAAAGAATCGGTAACCGGGTATCTATACCAGGAGAGTTGTTTGAAATAGTTGCGGTACTTTCACTATGTATCCACTGTGGCATTCTTTACTATTTAAAGAAATTCAGAGTAAAAAATACAAAAATACACGTAAACAAACGTAACCTCCTTCACCCTCGCAGTTCATATGGAGGATATATCGATGCGCCATACTGAGTAGGAGTTGTTACCCTCAGCGTGAGGTGACTGTCAACTACAACAAATACGTCATTTGTGGACTGTGGTCTTCTTAGCGTAAAGCGGCTCGGGCATAATGACCCCATAATAGGTAAGGAATTTGATGCTCTCCCTGCGAGCTTTGTTCGTGGTATCACATTAAAATGAATTTTCGATAACTGTCGGGCAATTTTGCGTCACAAGTGGAACAATTAATGAATATTCACACTGTCATGTTTTGCTCAAGGTAGTTCACGAAGCCTTTCCAAGAGTTTGTCCGTACCCTGTAAAAAAATTATAGTACTTTGCGCGTGTTTCTGTTCATTGCGGAAGTTACATGGATGGCTGATCATATTTTCAATCGAAGTCTTTTGCTCTCCCATCCCCAGTTCCCCTCGGGACCGGCAAGATATCCGCGCAGCCCATACGTCATTGTGCATACAGTTCTTGAATAACAAAAAAAAGCAGTGGAGAAAAAAATAGATTACCTTTGGGATTACGGGTTTTAGAGTGGTATGGTATGAGGTTATACAGAAATCTTTTCCGAATTTTTCCCCAGTTTTGAAACGAAGACAGTGATTGGTGAGTACGTGTATTATGTATTTCGGTATAACGATATAACTTTGGTTCATCCGCGATCCACTGACACATGGCGTTTTTATCTTTCATGATAAAGGCTTTATCATCAGCAACTGTTCCGCTGGGCAGGTGTGAAGCAGGGCTGTAGAAACAAAGATGGTCACCACTGTTCAGTGAGCATGCATTGAAGTTTCAGACTGCCTTCCTGTATAAAGGCTGATAGTTTCGAAAGAAACTGTTTGGGGTTGCGTTGGTGGGGGTAACGAAATAATTTGGATATATCAACAAAGTTGAAATGGTAAATTGGCCACCGTAACGATTACAAAAGCTGACGTTTCGAGCGTTAGCCCTTCGTCGGAGCGAATAGAGGAATTGTGGGTTGTGTGTGCTTTTAAAGGCAGAAAATGGAGCTACGTTATTGGTGGGAACATGGCAACGAGAAAAACAAGAATAAATTAGTGGAATGAAAAGCGTTCGTTGATCCCTGTGGGATTTAGACTGCCGGTTTGAAAGATGAGCTTTTGTTCAAGATTTTTACGGCTTTCCGTGCTACCTAAGTGTAAGGAAAGACCGCAGATTGCCATATGTTGCTTAGAATGATTAGGTAAATTAAAATGCTTAGCGACTGGTTTCGATGTGTCCTTGTCATTCCTTTCCACGTCTCGAAGGTGTTCTCTGTATGACTGCTAAACTGACAGCTTGCATTCCGGTGTCAATTTGTTTCATCTTATTTTCTATTTTTGTTATTGTACTTTAACACGGTATTGCCAATAATAGCACTTTGATTTAACTGCCTGTTACTGTAGTATTAGAACTGAAAATAATATCGGAACTACCATACGTTTTTTAGGAGCTATATCACAATCAGATTGTAGTGTAGTTCGCTATGGAACCCTAAATTGGCCGTGTTTTGACGTAGTTATATATATTCCTGTCTCTTGATTAATTTTCAAGCCTCACTTTTGGGAAACATCGCTATTGGTTTTTTTCACTTAACGATTAAATTTTCAATTTGATTGCTGAATTTAGTCATCAGCAGCGATTTTTCGTTTCATGGTTTAAGTTGACGGTGTTTAAAACAATTTAGCACTCACGCGAAAAAATTTTGAGGGTGGTTTTTTCGACTGATGAAGAAATTTCACGATATGTGCGTTTGGCAATTTTCGTGCGTCAGTAGCTATCAATAGGATTGATAGATCTAAACCAGGCTTATAATAGTTTCCTCAAGAGGCTGCCATAAGTTCTGACGCAAGTATCAAAATTGTTTCTGCGGTAACATGACGAATAAAAGTTATTTTTAATTACATAACACTTTGATAAAGGTAAAAAATTCTCATCGTTATATTTTTCATAACGAGAGTTAGTTAACAATTGGTTCATGCTTTAGCGTGCACTATCGAGTTATGGAGCACGCGGGAAGTTTGGAGAGCACGAAAGAAGCGTAAGAGTTGCCCGAGGCGATAGCCGAGGGAAACTCTAGCTTCTTGAGTGCTCTCCAAACTTCCCACGTGCTCCATAACTCGATAGTGCACAGCTGAAAGCATGAACCAATTGTTTTAGAACATAGCCGGTGGAATTGTGCATCAAATCCGACGCGAAAAACGGACAACAATATCAGTTGAAGCGAATCGTGACGGCGCTGTTTCCGAGTCTCCTTTTCCTTTGTTTTTCTCTCTTTCTGCCTCATTTAAGAGCTCTAGCCCAAGGGAAAAGGTCGAAACATTGTCTTCGTTTTCGGACTAGTAGGCCGAGTTTCTGTTTGTATCCATTATTGTCGCGAAATATATTATTTTTCCCCGCGCTAACAATGGCCGCTCGCGCGAAAAAAAAAGTTCTGGCGAAGTCGGATTTGCTGACGCTATCAGCGTGCACTATCGGGATTTTGAGCACGCTCACGTATAATGAATTTAATTGCGCGACTCTGCTAGCTATGTTCTAATTAGCTGAGAGCCTTTCTATGATTGGGTCTTTGAACTGTGTGCGTGCGAAACCTCCCCTGAGAGCCGTTCTATGATTGGGTCTTTGAACTGTGTGCGTGCGAAACCTCCCTGGGAGCCGCTCTATGATTGGGTCTTTGAACTGTGTGCGTGCGAAACCTCCCCTGAGAGCCGCTCTATGATTGGGTCTTTGAACTGTGTGCGTGCGAAACCTCCCCTGGGAGCCGTTCTATGAATAAATCTACTCGAGAAAGGGTTGACTCCAAGGCTTAGTGTAAGAGATAAAGGCTCCTGTTGACAGGCTCCTGGCCGAAATGTAGGGCTTTCGATTCGTCTGCTTCAGCTTCAACAAAAGTTTTTTTTTTTTTTTTAATTTGCTCACAATGATAATAAATTCCAAAGGATGAAAACGAAAATGATCTTGACATATCGAAATGGGTGTGCAACTGTTTCTAAAAATCGCCATCGTCTGAACGCCCCAAACCTCTCACCTTGTCTCTAACCTCTTCTTAGATTCTCAGAAAATTACCTTAAATGAGTGGTACTATTAGCGTTAAAGTGTAGAAGTTTCCATGGTGTTTTGGATATGTATTTCAAAAGGTTGTAAGTCTCCCTCGTAGAAGAGGACATGGTTTCACTTTCAAGAAGACATGTTTATGTCTGCGATAAGGAGACCCCACGCGAGGAAAAACACAAATATTTTTTCCCGATTTTTAAGCCGTTCTGTGCTTTGTAGATTGACCTGCTAAACGGTCCACGAGTTGCCAACTCCCCCACACAGCTGTATGTGTTCTTGTGCCCTTGTTGCGAATCACTTCGATTTGATAAATGCTTAGTGAGAATTAAAATAGATAAGCTGGACAGATTGACGTAATTATATATTTTCCTGTCTCTTCATTATTTTTTAAGCCTCACTTTTGGGAAACATCACGATTCAAATTTTCAATTTTTTTTCTGAGTTTAGTCGTCTGCAGCGATTTTTCGTTTCATGGTTTTAGTTGACGGTGTTTAAAATAATTTAGCACTCCCACCAAAAAATTTTGAGTGTAGTTTTTTTCGACTGATGAAGAAATTTCACGATAATGTGCGTTTGACAATTTTCGTGCGTCAGTACCTATCAAAAGGATCGATAGATGATCTAAACCAGGCTTATAATAGTTTCCTCAACAGGATGAAAATAGCTGAAAATAGTTTCCTCTTCATTTCGTTTTAATTATTCTAAATAGGGGGTGTTAATAAACACGCCTACAAAAGCAGGACGGATGGATGCCTCAGGGGACACTCAGCCTGACACGTAATTTTTAGACGCACGCGCATTGTTTCGTATCAAAACAAAGTAGGTCATGTTTCACTCCCTGGTTAGAATGTGAAGGTGATTTATGATTTCCAGTAGAGAAAGGACAAGATAAAAGAGAACTTTTAAGTTAATATGAAATAAATAATTCAAAAGCTTGGCAATCTGGACCTGACAAGCCAGCGGAAAGAATTAGAAATGCGAGTTGCCGACACGTCATATTCAGAGTTGTTATACTGACAAAAGTAGTTCCTGACAAAAAAAAAATTGTTTAGGTTCCACAACAGTGTTCAAAGCTATACTTAGACATTCAGTCACTCGGTGTGATAAATTAATTCAGGGATACACACAGCTTCCTCTGCTCTCACACTCCCTGAATCAACGTCATATTTAGAGGGAGTTATTTCCCTTCATGATGGGCCGATTGTTCAACAACATCGATTGACGTTAGTCGTAGGCTTTTTACAGAGCTATTTCAGTCACCTCATTCAAACGAAAAACAAATTTACTGCTTGCCCTCCGGTAAGATTAGTGACGATGCTCTAGAAATAGATCCCACTGCCTATAAGGTTTCTACAATTATAAGCGTTAATTACCAACATGCTAGGAATAAACATTATTTCCTTGTATGCAATAGTACCTAACGGTTATCACATATCTTTTCTTTTTCTTTTTTTTTTTTTTTTTTTTATTTTGCGATACTGTCTTTCAAGTTATGAAATGTTTCTTATATTTTAGGATATCACATAAAAATGAAAATAGTTAAAATGATAATGAAAATAAGTAAAAAAAAAAAATTACCACTGCTTTGGAACCTTTGAGGGATGTTTATGTTTTGTACTTCCTGTTTAAAACTTGGCCAAATGTTGAACCTGTGCTACCATAATAGTTTGACCTAAGCTGACAGAACTACCTTCAAATTTCGAAGAGGACAACGCGCAATGATAAAGAAAGCTAAAATCAAATAAATATTTAAAACGGATTTTAAAAGAAGAGATAAAAAAATCTCTGTACTTCCGGTTTAGGTAGTGTCTTCAAAGCTGGTCTCTCCCGGAGAGGAGAGAGACTCTGGGCCAAAGTCCTCGTTCTTCTTAGTCACGTGGTCGAAAAACTGAACTCGTGACGGTAAATGAAAACCGAGTGGTTCTGGGCACGAGAATTTTTTTAGAATGGTACGCAATGCGCAGTAGCAGCGGCAGGGGCAGCTTTCTGTTCTTCATGTATCAAGCGACCAGCATATAAGATAAAACAAAATTGATGCGCTTCAAACTGCATTTCGGTTTAGCAATTAAAAAACTGAGAGAATCCAACTCCGTTCAGGAAGAGACTAAGACTCTCAACGTTTTGATGACTTTTAAAGACAACAATGAAATCTTACTTCGAAAAAAAGTTAAAACCGCGTTAAATTCCATATAGTATCGATTAAAGTAGTCCCTCGGTAGTTTCTCATTCACAGCAAATTTGCTGCAAGTGGAACACTTTGCCTTTTAGCTAGACCCAATCTTCATTACGTGCCTGTATCGCTCGGTCATCAACTGAGACTGAAGAGGTGCAACTTTTGAAGCTAGTCTTTTTACTTCCTGCTACGGAAAAAAAAAACAACAAACAAACAAAAAATGATTGATTATCAGTTGCTATTGATCCCAATTGTGAGAGCGTTTGTGCGACAAGTGCGAGTTTTGCAAAACATTAGTAAATGCCAGCAAAGAATAATCTCAATCTTTGTGAGCTAACTGTAAAAATTCATACTCGATAAAAGCTTAGAAATCTTATTGGACTACGAGCAGTCCCATCTTCACGACGAAGTCCATAGCGCGAGTCAAAAAACTCAGCGAAAAAAAAAATAATGTTAGCGCGCCGAGCGGAGGCTCTAGGCACACAAAACGTCTCATTCCCAGAGTTCCGCGTGGCACGCTAACTACAAGTTTTTTTTTTTTCCCTAATATTTTTGTACTCCCGCGACGGAATTCGCCGAAAAAAGGGGGGAATGCTTGCAAGCTAAAATCTTATTTCTAGATCTTAGCTAAACATTTGTGTTGTTTTTTTAAAAAAAAAAATGAATAGCCACCTGGCAGATGTACTAGATGTGTTCCCATGAAACAAGATCTAAAAATTATTAAAGAAGTAATCGAACAAATGTACAAAGAAAGAAAGAGCGACGAAAACCCTGAGTTCGTCGGTCTCCCCACTGAGTGTGGTTGCGTCAAGTTCCTTAGCGAAAGTTTCTTCGCTGGAATTAACTGATAACATATTCTTCTGAGGCGAGGTGCGGCGGCTGTTACTTCGCAAGGCCAAAGCTAAAACAATCTACAAAGAAGATTGGAAATAATAATCATTAGAACATATGAACGGTCTTACCACCTGTTTGCCGTAACTTTTCAACCACATAAAGATTGCGTTTGTATAGCGTCAACACTTTTTAAATGAACTAGAAATCGTTCTAAGGTAATAGGGCGAACAACCCACTAAGTCGTACCTTGTGGGAAAACAACAGCATCAGCGTGACCGAAGCGCTAATGTGGATGTTGGCAAACTCCATGGCGTACATCACGTTGGGAGACGAGCCGTTACTTAGCACAGCACTAAAACGATAAATACAAGATTCGGCTGCTGAGCAGGGGACCTTGGGCGGGGTACGCACATTAGGTAAGAGAACTGGGAGAGGGGGACACCTATTCTGAATCGAAATCTTTTTTCAACAATATTCGCTGAGCCTAAGGCGAATAACTGTATTAGTATAACTGCAAAGGTGCTTTTGAATTCTGCTGTAAATGTTTTTTTTTGGTGAAATCATTCCGTTACAATTGTTTTAGTCACTCGTATCGAGATAAGCAGACAATTTTCACGAGCATTAAATAGGTTTATTTATTCAATCAGCAAAGGGAGAATTTGTTGAAAATTCAAGAGTCTCTTTAGTTGGTGATCAATTCATTTATTCTCATGACCTTAATGTTTGATTCAGTGGTCATGTTGTTGGGAGAAATTATATGCCAATCACGCCAAGAGGTCAAAGGGTTTAAGTATACACTCTTTTTCAGTCTGCTCAGGCCTAAAATTACTAATTTAAAATTGCCTGAGTCTGGGCCCTTTTTTCTAAGGAAATTCAGACCAATGAGTTTGGAAAAACAGGAGCTTGAGAATTCTTTTGCGTTACCTTAGCACGTTGATGAAGCAGATTATAAACGTAGCGTTGTATATGGCATAGCCGATAAATTTACTTTCATTGTAGACTTGTGGCACTTTTCTCACTTTGAAACTGAGCCACGTTCCCCAAGCAAGGACCACGAAGTCAGCTGAGGGAAAGAAATAAGGAATTAAAAGTTTCTGCTGGACTTGCACAACTGGAATTGTTCCAAGAAAAAAGTGCTTTGGTGAGTCGTACTCGTGACAAATATACTCAATGAAATAATATCAGAAGTAAAGAAGTATAATAACATCAAAATCGTGACAAATTCTTTGAGTAAGGAGGAAAACTTAAAGCGGATGATCTTCCGGAATGATTTATGGATCTTCTAAAGTGTCCTTTACATAGCTTGTGTACCAGGGTCTCTGATAGCCAGGCCATCGAAGTACCATCATTCTTATGGGATGCCATTCAATTACGATGGCATCGCAAGCTACTCCAAGCTATTTGTCAGATTTCTCGGGCTGCTCACTAACGCTGTTGCTAATCATACTGTGACAAATCCTTACCGGATTAATTAATACAAGGACCTAGTTTTGCTCGAAACAGTAATTTTCCACCCAGACTCCAACGTGTTAACCTTACGTTTAACACATCTCCTAGGGAGCGGGGTACCCTGAAGATTTCTCACCTTCTCTGGATACATATTGATTTGCTTCGGTTTGGCCGGACATTCCATGCCCGTGAGTATTCAAGTATTTATACTGAGATGCACTGATAGACACTTCCATGATTTAGGATGTTTCGTTTACCTGCTAAGATCATGTGTCTAAACCAGCTTGTCGAGCATCTGTCGTATTTGAGTTTATCAGCGGTAATACTTTTGAGTCAACGGAAGGAGGCTGTATCACCATCCAAACGGTTAAATAACTTGTATACAGCAATACAATAACTGACAGTCTCCGTAGCAACACACTGTCTGTTATGGCCACCTTACGAGCGGAGCGCACGCGGAAAATTAACACCACTCTAGAGTAAAGGAAAAAAAAAAAAGAAAGGGAAATGAATAGTACTAGTTACTATTAGATTAGAACTACATATACTGGACATTTTAAGCGGAGGTTTCCAAACTGTAATCACAATAAGTTCCCCTTACGGGGACAAGAGTTCCTGCATTCAGTCTGAATAAACTTGAATTTCCTGATTACTTTATTTTGCTCGATAAACTGGAGTAAATTACTACTGTGACAATTGGTTGACCGCCTTCCAGTATGATTTTTTTTTAAATTTTCAGTGGTAGTTCCGACCGGCAGGCTGTTTCACGTCGTTGATTGAACATCCGAAAACCTGAACATAGGGTCACGTGAGGGGATATTTGACAGGGAATGTAAGATGTCGGGCTCGTGAAGTGTCTGTGTTACAGGGATCATTTACTTAGCTGATCCTTTTTAACTTGCCTCCTGTTCTGTTGCAGGCCTTTAGTAAGTAAAAGTTAGCGCGACAGTGGTGGAGGAGTGAAAGACTAGAGAGGTTTTGGTCGGGTTGCGTTCATTAGATGACTCGTTTCAAGCTCCCCTCATTTCCTCTCTGTCACCACTACACATCGTTTACAATTTTGCTCCCTTTCACTATCTGAACGCCTAGACCAGGCTACTTACCTCCATGTCTTCAGAGCCAGAGAACCATACACAAAGGCGAAACCTAGGTGATGTAACCAAGGTGACAAGGTACAGCGCACTTTGGAAGGTGTAGGGAACGATACGATGAGCTTAAATCATCATAGAGAAATGCATTAACAGCTAAACTGGGGTGATAGGTCTTAATATTGGGCTACTTTTTTTGATGTTACCAGGTAAAGATTTTGGGGGCCGTCTTGACTCAGGGTCGCGTGGATCGGTGGCAAAAAAATTCAGAGACGTTTTGAGCTACATGCTCATTGCTTTTCGAAACGAGTTATCATTTGGCATGTTTTCACTCGTTTTAAACTTTAAAAAGACTATTTTACTCGGGATGGAACGAAAAAACAATCTTAAAAGTTTTGAAACCTCGCGACTAAACTCGACTGGAAGTTGCGGCTGAAGTGAAACTGTATACATCATGTTATGTTATGCATGATAGCTAGGAATTGCGCCCGCAATATGTAATAATCATTGTGATTAATTCTATGCAGCAAATATTTGATTGATCAAGACAAATTGCTTACCTCAACATACATCATTACTGCTCCGCAGATAATGATTTCGAGAAAACGAGGACTTGACGCTTTAAATATCTGATGAACGGAAAATTACTGTCACTGGAATAAAAGTTGCTCATGAACTCACTCATTTATATATCATTTTTAAAGATTTGAGCAGAGAGGTTTAATCATAGAGCCATACAACCAGGAGACTAACCTCTTTTAAGGTAAATAATGTCACGTTATTTTTCAGCCTTAAGGTCTAAAAGTAACTTGAGGTATCTGGTTTCCGCACTTACACGATTGATCGCAGCGGCGTTCATTAACTTTTGGACGTTTCTGATACGCTAAATAATATGACTTTTAGGCTTTGGGTCCATAACAGTGTGGAGTTTTAGAACTGTAGTATAAGTTGTGCTTTCCTCTGAAACATGTAAAAAGGAAAGCGTAATGTGGGTTGCTGTACAAAAAGGGTCAGAGTTAGAGACCTGGAACCAGTACCTCAGTGACGAGCATTATGAACCCAAACTGGACTGGTTTCCTTTTCCCTTTCTTACCTTATTCTGCCAATGTTTGTACACCATTGCTGCGAAGACCAGAGAAATGACGACAACTAGACAGTTCATTACAAGGAGGGAATATCTCAGCTTTGTATATACATCATACACGCAAGCGCTGCCATCTACACATTCTTCACAGCCTTCACTACACGCGAGACACTCAAAGTGGTCCTCGTACAGGTTAGATTCGCCTCTCAGCATTTTGTCGTATTCTTCTTCCAGGAGCTGCCCAATAAAGTATTTTTGAGTTGCTGTGGGGTGTGGAAAGAAGTAGCCTCGTTTGCAGGTACAGCGATAGCTGCTGCGTTTGAATCCTTGGAAAGGGACTGGTACACACTGTAAAAAGATAACTATTTATCAGGATTTACGCTTCTTGTTCCATTAAGACAAATTAACGGATGATTATAGATTGGGATGGTCCGGGAGCAGGGATGGTTTTCATCTAATCCACTACAGAATCTAAGTAATGTTTATGTGGTGGATTTTCCTCTGTCTGCGTAACTTGCCTTTGTGCTCTTTTTACACCTGTGAGTTCCCATGAATGTGCTTAAGCGGTTTGGTTTGGGTTTGTCACCAGTTTCTTCTACACTTTGTTGTTCAGCAGAGTCCTGGGCATCGCACTGGTCGATATCGACATCTTCAAGCGAAATATCCACGCTTATTGTATCTCTGAAAAAAGCAGAAAAATTATTTGGCCAAGGTCTATTTCCAAGGCTGCAGAACGTAAAGCTGTTCTTACTTTTTCAGAAAGATCAATGTTTAACATTTTCCACATTTTTGTAGAAATTCGAACTAATGCCAATTCTGAAACCTCCGCCGAATGCTCTACAAGCTGAATCAGAAAGACTTTGTTTGCGAGCTACTCTCGCTTCCAGCCAGTACCAGGATACTCGTAATCAATTAATTTTAGTGTTCTTAACTCCTAAGTTTTCTTTTTTCATACTTTTTGTTTCCCTTTACATATTTCCATAAAAGTTTGAAATGTTTTGCTTGTTTTGCAGGGCAGCGGTTATTTTCTATGTTTTCTTTAAAATTTTGCGCAGGAAATTGCCACACAACCGGCCAAAATTAATTCCCTTGCGCATGCCTGGCCCTTAACCGCTGTATTGGGGAACTGAAGCTCTTGAACGAGATTGCTAGCGAGCTGGTAACAAACTGACCAGTTTCATATGTGACAGCCGTCGTGCGTACAGCCAGTACAAGCAAGTTCACCCAGATGTAAAAAAAAGGTGTTGAAACAAAAGCTCGTTCGCTGGTATAAAGAAAAATGTTCAAACATTAGTCCCGTGCGCGGGAAAAATGATTTGCTTCGCAAAAATGTTGCTCAGCATTTTGTTTTTATTCTGTTGGCCCTTTAGTAATTAGCTTTAAACGGTAGAAAGACTGATTTGAAGTAAATTTATACAAGCAATTAAAATTCAATATAAATTTGGCTTTGCCAACTGAGTTGTTGAAATTGGCCGCAGTAAAGAGTTTTTAAAGGTAACTTTTCAAACGTTAGCCTTTAGTTTTTAGTTCTGACGAAGGGCTGACGCTCGATACATCAACTTAAGAAACTCTTCAAGGCAGCAATTTATATTTTTAACTCTGTTGATAAAACCAAACTATCTTATGATACCCCAACCGACACAGCGCACAGTTTTTCTACAAACATTGCCAATTAAGATTCAAATGAATTGAACATACATTACTTTTTAATTGATGTTTTAAGCTGCCCACGTACTAATTTTTTCCCATAAAAAATTATAAATTTTTGCATATAAATAGTGACCGCCTAATTACTACAATTAGAACTCCCCAAAAATAACACCATTTGGCCGCTCAGTTTCATTTAGCCTGATAAAAATGTTGCAGTATTTATTAGCTACATTTCAAATCTTTAAATTATTTGCATGCGATGAAGGAAAAATAAGTTTAAGAAAGAGAAAGTGTAATATAGCTAACATCTTGTTTTCCACCCCATTCTTTATAGTTGGACTGTTTATCTAACTAGCTGCTTTGTCTGCGGTTTTTCAACCGGTTTCCTATTAATTTGTCTCCGTATAACGAACGATGTCTAAAAACAACACGGCTATCCTGAACAGATGTGGGGGTTGTTTTATGCTCTCAATTTGCTTACATTCCGGCTACTTGATGAATTTTCGTCTTTTCCCTTTATATCCGCATATTTTTCTTTCTGACCTAAGTATTACGTTAAATCGTTGTGCTGAAAAGAACGTTTTGCAACCTCGGCGGAGTCCCTGCCTAAAATGAATCATGGGCATATTAGAAGTTTGCTTTCTCCTAATGGCCAAAAACTCACCAAGTTGATTTATAGGTTAAATGTTTTGAACTGGAAAAGGTTAACACAGAGTTGTTACAATATGCTGTTCATTGTATATTTCATTCATATTTCAAAGAAATGTTAAAATTTTTAGTCGCGATTCTTTTTYYKRAWKRWTTT